AATAAAATCAGACTTACTTCTGAGTATACATGCTTAGAATTGTTCCCTAAATCTCCTATAGTACCTTCCCTCCTGAACCCTGCACAGCTTTGTCTTGGATCCAAGGCTCACGTATTTGGTACCATTCTTCATGGCTGAGTAATGTTGCTTTTCTCTGATTCAAAAAAGGGTACCTAGTGATAAAATCCCATATGAGATTTTAAAAAGGAAACTGTCAATTTCCCTCTGATAGCAAGTGATGGATGATTATTTCTCATTCTTTATTTAGATATGTATACCTTCTATTTCTTTTCAACAGTGTCCCGAAGCGGAATACAATGTAGTTCTTACTTGCTCCATTTATCCTCACTATAGACCTGTGAAGCAGATGATAATGGGAGGAGGTCCCAAGATCACCCAGTAAGCTTCCATGGAAGAGTGGGGATTTGAACCTGGGTCCTCCAGATCACAGTCAAATCCTCTAACTATTCACATATGGAACATTGCTCCTAAAATAGTAGCTATCTTTCTGTATTCCCAATTTTTTGTGACAGTTTTGGGTTAGTAATTTTTCACTGTCAGCCTTTTTCACTTATGCCCTGTCTCTCTCATTACTATAGTCCCTATGCCACATGGCTTTTGTCGATAAGGGTTGCATCATCCACAGCATAGAATTTTTGAGTGGTCAAAAAGAACCTCACCTTCCTTTTCACCAGCAGAAAATCTGGTTGACTCCAATCCACAAGCTCATTTTATCTCAATTTGGAATCGATATAAGGAAATTTATGTTCATCTCCAATTATGGAGTGGGATTAACTGAGCTGTTTATCTCAGCGTTGACCAATCCACTCCCATCCTGGTCACACATGACTTTAGTCTATGGATATGCTATAACCACCAGGATAGTTTTTTTGACCAATGGAAGAACTGGTTACATCTCACTTCAATTCAGCATATAGTTTATCTTCCATTAATATCATATGAACTGAACCCATGTAGCAGTGGCACAATTTGATGCATTCAACTAGCATTAACAAAAACTGCTGGAAAGAAAGTGGTCTGGGGAATACAGCCCAGATCTCCAATGCTGAACACATAAAATCTGAACTCTGAAGAAACAGTCCTTTCATGTGACTTGTCACACAGTATAATCTTACTAACCAGTTTCTCTGCTCTATGGATTTGTTGTGTTTCAGACCAATGCAGAATACAAAATAGGTAGGCTGGAAGGATCATTAGATAAATTTCTTTTGGAGAAACTTGCTTTTCTGGCACAGAGCAAAAAGAGGCAAAATATCACTTACATTATTTTGGATATCAAAATATTTGTCCTTCATCTTTGATTATCCAAAAGGTTTTCTCTCCCAAATTTTCCTAAGGGCACCTTTAACTTCTTTATTACGAAAGCTATATATGATAGGGTTCAATATGGGGCTAACAACTGTGTAGAAAAGAGACAGATATTTGTCACTGTTGGGTGAATAAGTGGAATTGGGTTTCAAGTACATAATACAAGCTGAGCCATAAAATAAAGTCACCACAATGAGGTGTGATGAGCAAGTGGAGAAGGTCTTTTTCCGGCCCTCAACAGAAGAAATTCCCAGAATGGTGACAATAATACCAGCATAAGACATTAAGATTAGGATGAAAGGAAGAGTCACAAAAATCATAGCCACTACAAACACAGCAATTTCAGTCCTGGAAGTGTCCCCACAAGCAAGTTTTAGTAATGGGGGGATATCACAAAAGAAATGGTTTATCTCATTGGAGTCACAAAAGGGCATGGTGAACACCATACTGGTGTGACCAAAAGACATAAAAAAGCCACTTAACCAAGATGCCACGGCTAGACCCATGCACACTTTCCTGTTCATGAGGACATGGTAGTGAAGAGGCTTACAAATGGCAACATAGCGATCATAGGCCATTGAGGCCAAAAGGAAACACTCTGAGCCACCAAGAAAGAATGTAAAATAGGTCTGTACAGCACATCCTAGGAAGGAGATGGACTTGTTCCCAGACAGAAGGTTCTCAAGCATCTTGGGGACATTGACAGATGTGTAACAGATCTCCAGGAAGGAGAGGTTTCTCAGGAAGAAATACATGGGTGTTTGTAGTGCAGGATCAATCAATGTGAGGAGAATTATGATGAGATTTCCTGCCAGGGTAATGATATAGATAGCCAGAAATGTAGAAAATAATGTACTTTGTAAGTTGGGTTCATTTGAAAGACCCAGGAGGATGAATTCAGTCAGCGTTGTTGTATTCTGTAGTATTCTTTCTTTCTTCGTCAACATCCTGGAAAATAAAAGGAAATGCACATACATCTAATAATTAAAGGAACAACAAAACGTTTTCCTATGCACAGGACTGGATCCACCAGTTTATCTGCTAATAAGAAATGAAGGAGAAAAGGAAGGCAAGATTTCAGTCACTCACCCCAAAAAAACTGTATTTAGGATTATGGAAACTACATGAACAAAAGGAATTAGAAAGTAGAGGAATTCAACAATGCTCGGTGAAATAGATCTCCAAATTCATAAACTGAAAAAGGAGGGGGGGACTTAACCCCCCCCCAATTGAATTAAGTACCTAAAGATTAAGAAAGATAGACTTACAGGCAAAATGATACTGTTAATCAATTAAAAAAATTAACAAATATTAACAAATATATGAAAATACACATATTTAATTCACAATAGATTAAAAACATATATTGGTCCTTACAATAGCCTCGCTTATCATTGATGATCTGTAATGATGCCCTGACCTGGATAGCCCAGGCAATCTGGATCTCACATCTCGGAAGCTAAGCAGAGTTGACCTTGGAAACAGGAGACCTCCAGAGAATACCAGGGCCATGAGGCCAAAGGCAGGTGATCAAGGCACGTCTCTGAATGTCCTCTGTGCCCAATAGGAGTTGCCAGAGGTTGCCATGACTTCCAGGCATGGACACACACACACAAAATGCAAAAGAAGTAATCTGTTATGACATCCAAATGTGATTAAAGTGACAAATATTGGCCCTGATGGACAGAGAGAACATATTTCCTCTATGCACAGTCTTAGAATTAGGAGGCACCCAATAAGTTTCATAGCAGATACATTGCGAAAAGACAAAATGACTATTTATTTGAGTAATTAAATTGTGAGTTCACTACCAGTAGATATAGGGATGGCCACAATAGTGGCTGTAAAAGAGATTAAACAGATTCATGGAGGATAAGTAATAGGAGGCAACATGAAGCAAAGGTAATCATCTCTGTTCTTGGTTTCTTCAGGGCAACTGGTTGATGACTGTGTGACAGAGGAAGCTGAACTAGCTATGACACTAGCAATGTTCCCTCTAAGCTGCAGAGTCTTGTGAGCAAAAATTCTACTTTGTGAGCCATGGGCAATAAAGTTGTGAGAGAGCAATTTGGCTACTGCATAAATTACTTTGCCCTGGAGCCATCCTTCCTGAGCTAAGACAAAAATCTGTGAGCTGGAGGCTAAAAAATTGTGAGCTAGCTCACTCTAACTCAGCTTAGAGGGAACATTGGAGACAAGTATGACTCACCAGGGCTCTTCTTATGTTCTTATGATTATGTTGTAATTTGCCAACACAAAGCCCTAAGAATGATTTGAAGGCCGTGGTGCTGCAAAAGCTAAATTGATTTGGCCTTACAATTCACCTGCATGATAATGCACCTGAGAACTGTATCTAAACAATTGAGCTTTTTGGATGAGTACTGGCATCCAAATATAGAAAACAGGAATGTATAGCACACAGAGATCTAATGCTGTTATTGTGATGAATGGGGGAGTGTATCCATCCATGCATATACAATGTACTAGAGTGGGATGCATACTTCTGCCTTGTGGTGCAGATAGCAACACTGACAAAAGAGGTGGTGTGCTGGGTTTTTTTTTAAACCTCCTTTGTACAGATTTACAAGCAGACTAAGGCCCATTAATTATAGCATCAAAGAGTCTCTTCTGCTAAATGAGAATTTGTATGCAGGCTCTAAATTGAATACTAATGGTATGATCCAGCCAGTTTGAAAGTGTTGCTAAATTCCATTGATTGCAATGACAGAAATTGACACATGCTCAAAAACCACCAAACAAAACCTGCTGGATTTTGGAGTTTAAACATTACTATTAAAAGGCACTAACCCTGCCAAATAATCCTGGTCTAAGAAATGATTTACTATCAGTGGTCACTTTTAGAGATGTAGACAGTAGACTCCTTCAGAATGACAAACACTGTTTTCAAAGAGGGTAATAATTTACTTACTGAAGTTTCAGATGCTCACACACAGCCCTCTCGGTTACTGACTCTTCAGCGGCCCTGTTGGTTTCTAAGTCACTTGTTTGAAAGGGAGTGATCTTGATCCTATTTCTTGACTGTTCACCAGACACAATGGAGAAAGTTTTATCCTCCTGTGGTATCTCCTCTGGGAAGTCCATATGCAAACAGATTGAAAAGTTCTATGGGCTGCGTAGACAGACGCTTTACTGCCGTTATCCACAAAACGTTTGGGTGAAAGTCGTGTCTTCCAGAGGGAGAAAGGAGCATACAGTTTCATGAATGGAGCATTGATCATGGCACTTTGGATCTAAACCATTTTTTAATACAGGTAGTTATTTGAAAATGCAGATAAGTGCCATCATGGGAGATATATTTTTCCTTCTCTTACATGGGAAAGAATGACTCTTCTGATGCCTGCCATATCTGTAGGATCATTAAAAAGAATAATGTTTTTTGCTTGGAAACCATTATTTTCCCTCAGATACAAATTTAGCTGCTCATTCAATGTATTAACCAAATGGAATTCATATGATTAACCAGTCAAGTTCTCTAGCAATACCATTAAACAGTAGTGGAAATATCCACATAATGGTAGGCCTGACCTTGTCATTATAGGCAGGTTTTGGGGGGTTCCACCCCTGTATCCAGTAGTGATTATTGATATACTCTTCCATTTATTCTTTTTGCCATGCCCCAGTGGCCCCCAATCACAGTATTTGAGGTAAAAGGACTGCCACTCTTTCACTTGGTAAGGCCCCAAGGGAAGATAAGCTCCCCCCTGAGTTCTTTAAGCAGTTCCCTGCCTGGTGGGTTCCAGGGTTGGCCAAGGTGTTCTCTCAGATAAATTCCTCTGTATTCCTGCCCTCAAATCATAGTTATCCCAATGTTTAAAAGGGGCACCACACCTTAAAAAGGATATTATAGCTTTGGAAAAAGTGCAGAAAAGGGCAACTCGAATGATAAAAGGGTTGGAACACTTTCCCTATGAGGAAAGGTTGAAGCGCTTAGGGCTCTTTAGCTTGGAGAAAAGACGACTGAGGGGTGACATGATCGAGGTTTATAAGATTATGCATGGGAAAGAGCAGGTAAAGAAAGAGGTACTTTTCTCCCTTTCTCACAATACAAGAACTCGTGGGCACTCCATGAAACTGCAGAGCGGTCAGGTTAGAACGGATAAAAGGAAGTACTTCTTCACCCAAAGAGTGATTAACACATGGAATTCACTGCCACAGGAAGTGGTGGGTGCTACAAGCATGGACGGCTTCAAAAGGGAATTAGATAAGCATATGGAGCAGAGGTCCATCAGTGGCTATTAGCCACAAGGTATAGCTAGGGGCTCTGGGGCAAGTGATGCTCTGTCTTCTTGGTGCTTGGGGGGGTCAACAGTGGGAGGGCTTCTAATGTCCTGGCCCCACTGCTGGACCTCCTGATGGCACTGGTATTTCTGGCCACTGTGTGACACAGAGTGTTGGACTGGATGGGCCTTTGGCCTGATCCAACATTGGCGTCTCTTATGTTCTTATGTTCTTAAGATCTACACAATTATCAACCTATCAGCTTGTTAGATATCACCTTCAAACTCTACAGTAAATTCCTACTGAGTAAAATGGAAGAATGGAAAGAGGCTAACCAGGTCATTTTCCCTGAACGAGCTGGTTTCAGAAAGGGCCAATCTATCATCAATCATTGTCTCATTTTGCACTACCTTGCTACAGAATGCATTAAGGGTCCTACTAGACATCTTTATGCACCTTTTGTCAATTTTGCACCTACTTTTGACTCAGTGGACAGAGAAAGACTTTGGTCTAAACTGGGAAGTACTAACATTAGCAAATATCCCCTACTTCTGATAAAAGAACTCCACAGTAATGTATCCTCTAAAATTAGAGTAGGCATTTCAGGTTCTCAGAAAGAAAGCATTCCCATAGTCAGAGGTGTGAAACAGGGTTGGTTTCTTTCCCCTCTTCTTTTTAATTTTTATATTAATGACATTATTAAGAGGCTCTCAGACCCTGATCTTTTTCCTCCCCATCTTGGCCCATGGAAAATTTTAGTCTTCTTGTACACGGATGACATGTTGCTGCTGTCTCTAACTCATGTTGGTTTGAGAAGGTCACTGTCTAGGCTCAGTGTTTATAGTAAAGAAAAATGATTAAATATCAACTAATCAAAGACCAGGGTGATGTTTTTTTGGAATGAGGAGATGCAGCCACTGTTGGTCAATAGACAACTTTTCAATTGACCGGTACAGAAATTTCAAATATCTGGAAATCACCATTAGTAATACACTTTCTTGGAAGGCTCATTTAGAAATTATAAAATCAACAGTCCTCCATGTGATGGGGTCCATTCTAAAATTCTACCACACTAAAGGAGGCTTCCTCATAGATCCTGCCATAAAACTCTTCCAGAACAAGGTAACCACCCAACTTCTCAATGATGTAGAGGTATGGGGATGGAACGATGCCATGGTTGTTAACATGGGGAGAATTCAAAATCTTTCCCTTGAAAATGATTTTACTACTTCCCCCAAACACTCTAGCTGCCCTGCTGAGAGCTGAACTGGACCTTCCATCCATCCGTGCATGTGTGCATGTAGCCCTAATTAATTACTGGCCCAAATTGAGAAGTGCTTCAGATAGTCATCTTTCTAGCCTATGTCTCACCTTATTTCAAAAAGATTCTACTTGGTCCACCAATTATGATAAAATTCTCCATCTGTATAAACTGCCAGATGTCATTCGTGGTGCCCCCTAGGCCAATTTCAATTTCCAGGCCTGGGTATATGTGCATAATGACATAGATGACAGGCAAATTATTCCAGGTAAAAAATTCTTTGTGTATAATAATCTTTATCTTATAACAACAAACATAAACCAACATTAAATGGGAGAATCTCTCCACCTTTTTGAATTAACTGTTATGTTATCCATACATCTCTCAATATAAGAATATTTCTACACCTTATACTCTTAGGCATAGATTTGCACATTTTATCTTAAA